CCCCGAACTCTGGGCGAATTGAAGGGCGAAATTCGCGTGGAAGTCGCCCTAGTTGAGAGAGCGATGTTGGAGAGCGTCTACGAGAACTTCCAAGAACGCCTCCAGCACTGCATCAACGACTTCGGCCACCACATGCCTGATGTGATTTTCCACACTTGACTGTCTCAAATGCTATTTCCTTGTGAACCTGATTCCATCAATAAATTTGTTTTCGAGTAAAAATTAACTATTTTATGATTTTTTTAAAACCGTCCGTCCTCTCTGCCGCACCCTGTACCAAACACGTCATCTCCATTTGATAAAAAATCTTCCGAGTTGCATGGCTAAAGCCGCGTACAGACCTAAAATCCAACGCCGAGCAAATGAATGCAAGCACATGTGAAAGCGTTTGTTGTTGGAATATATTGGAAGGCGCTCGTCTACACGTCTACACCTAAATTTGGTTTCGAGTTGGACCGCGTTGGGTTAAGTTCGATGCTAATGTCGAGCGGTGATTCTCCTCTCATCGAATGCAGATAAGACTAAATACTAGAAGAGCAACAAATCCTGTAGAGACCTCCCTTTGATGTACCGATCAAGCAGCGAACACCAACGCCGACCTTGGATGCCATTGGCTTATGATGGCTCGCGCCCTACACACCGATTCGAACACCTCCAAGTCTGTACCCAGATGTGCCTTGGCTTGCGTTGGAATCTCGGTCTGTACGCGGCTTAACACACAACTCAGCCTACTTGTCTTTTTCCCCATCAGTTGCTACACACTATCGTATCAACTTGTGGGGCAATGCCTTCTAGTTTGTGCTGTGCATGCTATAAAGTCATGCAATATTGATTAAAGCAAAGATTGGACGCAGCATTAAGAAAACGGTATGTCAGCAAAATCGCCAGAAAAATATGTAATTCGCAATATTCTAGTCGCAAATACGCTGTATAAACAACATTGCTGATAAATACCGACACCTAACCGCAGCAGCCGGATGAAAAATGCGTCAACATTGATTAGGAAAATTAAGGCCCATTAATTTGGCGAAATTCCGGTCAACATGATATAGCACGATTACATCTAAAAGGCGTATTAAATTTTGCTCTAATCTGCATTAGCCTGGAAATGATTGTACAAAAATAGCGACCGGCAGCGTTTCGTTCGAATTCCGTTCACATCGACTCTTTGTCATATTTGATTAATGAGTTAGCTGATTGCTCCAATAAAACCGGATTCGTAATTACTTAGCTTGGTTGTTGGCAGGGATATCGTATCGGTGTATATCGCTGGTCGCTAATGTGTTTTTCATTCATTTTCCGATTATTTTCAAACTTACCACAACACAGATGCTATTCGTTTAACGAAAACAAAAATTGTATACCACATCTTTATCTGTAGTTTCATTTACGTAGTATTGACCCTCAAGCCCTGCTCACATGCTCGGGGTGCTGCTGCCCCGACTACATTGTCCATAGTAGATGCTGTTCACAGCAGGGCTGCCCAAATGACCGATGACACGTCTCTAATGGACAGTCCCGGGATCGCTTACGGATTCGGCAGATAGTGTTGTTAAAATTCGATAGATTCAAAATTAGTAGGAACAAACTATTAAATTCGGCGCGCAGTCTACGAAAAAAAAGTATCTTTCAATCTTCTTCAATGTGCATACTGATCGTTCTTCAAACTCCTTTGCAACCATCCTGGAAAATTCTTCTACCCTTCATGTTTATAGTATTGTGAATATTTCCCCGGTTTACGCCAGACCTTGAAGCTTCATCATCTGACATTTAAATTTAATCAAAAATAGACGAGCTTTAGTTTCCTTATTGCTTGTCTGGTGCTTCGGGAATTGCGCTGGTCTACCAGTCGATACCTGTTGTACCACAAGAACCAATACAGAGTTCAGATGGATATGAACGTAGTGGGAGAAGCGGAATACATAAGCTATATTTTTGGTTACAGCTTTTTTTCGGTAAGAATGTAGAGATAATCGAATTATTTTAAAATCGTGAAAAATGAGGGCGTTTTTTTAATTGCATTTCGGTAAAGATACCGAAAAATCGGTGGGTTCGGCAACCCTGTCCACCGCTATGCCGTTGAGCCTGTCTTACGGACTCGCAATACTATTTCGAGCTTGCATCCAATACTGACTAGTTCGAACTCCAATTTATTCCTAGGGAGTCGAGATCGTTGAACAAACTGCCCAGGACGCTTCTTCCAGTTATACAAACCTTAGTTCAAAAATTAAATGCGTAGGGGTGTCGTTGAGCCCCTTATAGCAGTTCGCGGTTTCTGCCTACGCGGCTGCGTCAGTATAAAAAAGAAAGATTGGTGTAGTAACTTAGAGATACAATCACAGGTGGACGAGAAATTGGCCCTAGTCACATGCTGTTTCTTGGATGTAAAACTAATATGACAATAAAATTAAATTCTTTTATTTTTATATCTTCAAGTAAAGGAACCACAGCAGCAAAGCAAGACTCGTTGAAAGAACATCACCACACTCCTTGTTGGATAGCAAATCTGTCTTGGTAAGATTCCTAACATGCTCAAGACATCTGCCAGTGAGATTTCGTCTAGGGGAGGGGGTGCAAAAGATACTTGGGGCTCAATATTTTATTATATGAGAACAAAATAAGTACGTGGCATTTATAATCAACCAGTGTAATAATATGAAAGATTAAAACATAAAAAACTTCATTGCTCTGTTAACCAAAAAAATAAACATTGTGAGGGACCCCGAGACATATCCCAGTCCATTCCTCACAAAACGCTAGACGAGACAAAGAAGGATGTCTATAGACCATCTATAGATCGTGTCTTAAGATCATTCCCAGGCAAATAGCGCAACGGGGTCTACCAGTATTGTACTAAGCTTAAGGATTAAGATTCACTGCCCATTAAACAGATCAAGTAATTGGTGCAAATACTAACACAATCAAGAACTTCTATTATATCAGCAGGTAAAAATGTTGGAAATCGTTGGAAAGAACTATATGTGTTAGATCGTAATTATTTTGATAATGTATGTTTGTACGAAACAAATACAGGAATGGAAGGCTGTACATATTCACGTGCAGTGCAGGAGCTTTATGATTTAAACGAATTCAATTTAGCAACATAAATAGACATATACGCGGGAAGAGTTGCGGGAAGTGTGGCATTGACTTTGAGTATCGATCGACGCATTTTCTTGACAGACCACAGGCGCACCTCTAAACAAATCTCATAAATATCTATTTCCAATTTAGGCTTTCATCTAACACAGTGCTTCACTGCAACACCAACCCCTAACAAAGTCAGTCAAGCTTCTCACACTTTTCAAGTTACTATTGAGCAACAAACAGAACATAAATCACTTTTTAAGTGCAATCCGCATAGCTTATATATTACTCAGACTTAGATTTGTCACAAGTCACAATACCCGTATATACGTATAAATCGTAAAATTGTGCTGTAAACGTAAGTGACGTCAAAGAGGAACAGCGTTTGGAATACCAAAGGATACCAAAAATATCGCAATGCTCAGTTCCAATACCTTTAACTTATAGTTAGTATGCCTCTGTCGCCATGATGTGTCAGAAAGTAACACAATGGTGTTAGTTTACAAAAGCAAGTTTCGGATGTCTAGGGGGGCATCCCCCTAAATCCGCCACTGTTGAACACTGATACATCTTGTTAACCGCAGCTGGCGCTAGAAAGAACCTGAGCTATCTCGTTTATCATCTAACCTCTCAGTACACGTCTCAGAAAAGTCCAGCACTGATCACATGTGGAGTTTCGACTACGACGACACTGTTCGTTTTTAATGGCGTTCCAGACGATACTTTTTTCAAAAAGAGATTGATTTCTTTGTGTCTTTGGATTCCTTTAGTAATCGATCGATCTCTTGAGATCTTCGTGGATTTGTTTGTATCCCCAGTGGAGAGTGACGTCTATTAAAAAATCAATAAAATTTGTAAGTCTGGGCTATAATAGGGATAGACGATAGAAGCAGTGGCGTAGGCCTCCGAAGAGAGAAATTTATCCTTATCGTTAAATCGTCTTCGTTTAACCTGGCCATATCGTAAAATAGAGGGTATCCATAGAATATTTAATTTAAATCCAGAATATACCTGTATGTTACGAACTCGTTTTTGATTAAAACAGAGTAATTATGTAAGGACATTCTCAAACCTTACGTATCACAAATAACATATTTGAGCATATCTGATGTCGGTGAAGTTAATAAACCGCATGGCCACCCTGTTCTGCTTTATTTGATAATAACCTAAAAATAAAATGCAGATTACAATGAGTTTTCCATACGAAGAATACTATAAACACAATATTTTAGCTAGCACGCGATTTTAACCTACAATAAATGAATGATAATGCAATTTAAGAGTCAAGTACTAACCTGTGAAGCTCGATCTGAACTCCATGACTCTTTTGTGGTTGAACTGGTACTTGCGTGATCCGACTAGTACTCGAGTACCTTTTTGCCGCAGAGTCTTTTAATCTTACTTTCTTTATCATTTGGCAATGAATTATTAGAATGTTTACTTCGAAAATCAATTTTATAATTAACGACTGCCGCGTTGAAATGTAAACAAAGCGCTGCCAGCGCCTCTATCGGTAGTTAATGCATTTATTTTACGATTTTATGAAACATGCTTGACAGTTTCATGAAGTAGCCGCGCGTTTAGTTGATCATATAGTTAAACGATTTGTTATTAATGATCTGGTCAACGGACATCATTATCTGGATAAGAGATAATGATAAATTTCATGAAATGCGACCATTTCATGAAATACTTGATCTTTTTATGAAATGGTCAATTTTACGATATTTTCGATTGTTTAGGGACAAGAGACCATGCTATACTATGCAGATGGGTAGCCAAGAAGCATGAAACAGCTATTCATGGTTGGCTGTCTTTTTGGTCAGACAGACGGAAGCACCATGTTTACGAGGGATGTCTTTTGAGTTTTGCATATGGAAATAAAACAACACGGTTGGTAGTTTTAAATGACTTTATTGTTTTTCGAAGTATTCTCCTCTAAGATTAATACACATCTGCATGCGCTCGAACCAATTTTCGAAGCACTTACTCCACTCGTTTGCTGGCAGATCCAAAACGGCATTTTTGAATACGTCAACTGTTTCTTCTGGTGACTGGAACCTTTGTCCACGCAGTCTGTTTTTAATATTCGGGAAAGTAAAGAAATCGTTAGGACTTAGATCGGGACTATATGGAGGATGGGGTTGATTTTTCGAAGCTCGCTGATAACCTTTGGCAAACAAATGGTGGTATACCAATCCGCAGTAGCAGTTCTTTGCTCATTGAGAGGAATTGTTGCAATATGACCCGCTTTTGACACAAATGTCGCGACCATCTTTTTCGAAACACTTCAGAACGGATGACTTTTGTTGGCTTTTCTTCACCTTAGAACACCCAAACAGCCGACTGTCGTTTATTTTCCGATTCATAACAGTAAATCCACGATTCATTACCACTAGCAATGCTGTACACATTTTTTGAGTTTCCAGAATTGAAACGGTCAAGCGTTTTTTGACACCAATTAACCCTGGCTGCTTTCTGCTCTTCAGTCAACAGGTGGGGTATCCAACGAGAAATTAATTTTCTTACTCCTAATTCTTCATGTAAATTTTTTTGAATTCAGGTCTTTGAGATCTTCAAGGACGCCTCAATCTCGCGATATGTCACAAGTCTATCTTCAATGATGAGTTTGCGCACAGCATCGACGTCTTCCTGGGTGACTGCCGTTTTTGGTGCACCCACCCTGGGATCGTCGCTAAGACTCACCCGTCCACGTTTGAATTCTCCATACCAACGGGAAATTGTCGAGTGACGTGGCGCTTCGTTGCCGAAAACAGACAGTAACAGCTCGTTCAGACGACTCGGTCACGATCATTTAATCGAACCGGTAAAAGTATCGAATCTCGCAGTGGCGCAATATTTTAAATCTGCATATTCACACGATGCGGTCGTACCCCATATACGGGAAAACTGCCGATTCGTTCGGACTTGCATTCGGTTCGCGCCACTGGCAACCGTATGGTCGCATGCGGTTGTGTTCGGGAAAAAAACCGAATCGGCCTTCAGTGGCACGTACAATGTATATTGGCCATTTCACCTCCAGTCGCGATTCGATTATCTTGCCGAACGGCACTTGTTTTCGGCTTTAAATAGTTTGCTCATATTTATGGTATATACCTACATATATACAATGGAGAAAATAAATACGGAGCTGTTGATAAGTTTAGTGGAAGCGAGACCCGCTTTATGGGATAAAACACTTGACACATATAAAGACAAAAATTTAAAGTCGTCAGCATGGAGAGAGATATGTTCTCTGTTAAAGGAGAATTTCGAAGATATGGAACAAAAGGAGAGGCAGGCTTTTGGTAAGTATTTTATTGTTTATTTTGACATACATAAATTTACTAACCGATGGCTTCATCTTGCCAAGAAACAGAACCAGCTTCTGTTAGAAAATAGTCAGCAAAAGTTGTTCTTATGGAATTGGCAGATAGTCCTCCTCGTATATTTTGTGCTTTTGGTAAGTTGTCAAGGTGGATTTCTGGCAAATGAGCGTTTTCAAAATTAAACCCGTCTTTTTCTCGGACAAAATTATGTAACACAGTACACGCTTTTACTATCCATATTGCTGTTTCTAGTTTAACATCTAGAGGACGATGAAATATCCTCCATCTATTAGCTAAGATGCCAAATGCACATTCAACATATCTTCTAGCGCGAGTAAGTCGGTAATTAAATATTCGCTTTTTCTTGTCTAAATGTGTACCGCCAAAAGGCCTTAATAAATTGTCATGCAATCCGAAACCTTCATCGCCAATAAACACAAAGGGTACATTTATTTGTGTCTGTTCTAAAGGTCTGGGTGTTGGTATGTTTAAAGCGCCCTGTGTCAACTTTTTCCACAATGTAGATTCTTTCCAGATTGACGAATCACAATCTTTTCCATAGGACCCTATATTCACGTATATAAAACGATATTCTGAATCTACGACTGCTAATAAAACAATAGAGAAGTAATCTTTGTAGTTGAAGTACATAGAGCCAGTGTTATCGGGTTTTCTCAGTCTTATATGTTTCCCGTCTACCGCACCGAGGCAATGCGGGAAATTCGTTTTCATCCAGAATCCATTCGCTATTTCCTCCCATTTATCTGGCGTATCAGGGCATGCCATAAATTTAGTACCCATATTATTCCATATACTCCGAGTAACTTCTCTCACAATATTGCTAATTGTTGAGACACCAACTCGGTAGGAGTAATGCAGATCTTTATACGAACACCCAGATGCTAGATACCTGAAAGGAAGGAACGTTTTATTTTATTTGTTCCAGGTAAGCTGATTTTAAAAAAGTGGACATACATTCGAGACTCGTGGATGAAAGCATTGAAAAAACATAAAGACCAAAAAACAAGTGGCACATCGACCAAACCTTCAAGACTTTATATATATAATGAGCAGATGTCATTCCTGAAAAAAATTACAGATTCAACTGTTTGTCATGAAAACACTAATAATGAAAATAACACCGAGATAGAAGACTTGGATGCAGAAGTTATTGAAGAGAGTGTTCCACCTGAACAACCGAATATGGAAGCAAATCAGTCTGGTAGTACTCCCATCAGTACTTCTACTGCACGCAGAAAGAGGAGTATTAATGAAGTTGATGCCAAAATGATGCGATTCATAGACCATCAAATCAACTTATCCAAGGTTTCAACAGTCAAAGAGGATGAAAATCGTCATCTTACATTCTTCAAAAGTCTTCTTCCATCATTATCATCGTTTGATGAAGATGAAACTTTGGAATTTCAGTCGAGTGTGTTAAGTTTATTGCAAAATATGAGAGCAAAGAAGCGAAGGTTGGCCGATAATATTCAAATGCCATCGCGTACAATTGCCACTTATTACAATAATTGGCAAAATCATGATTATTACAGTCAGCCACAGCCACAAACAATTTCAAGAGTAACAACACCAATGACTAGTCCATATACTGCCGAACCGTCACCCTCTACACAGTCTGTTGCAAGCCAAGATTCTATTTTAGATCTAGATATTTCCAATTTTTGATTTGTTTATTTGTATATAAAATAAAGTTTTTAAAAAATGACACCTACCTTAAGCATATCACCAATTTTTCCTCAGCACTGATACATGTTCTCATATTTGTGTCTTCTCGAGTTAAGTCTTTTTTCACTCTATTAAGTAGGTCATCAAACGTAGAGGAAGACATCCGAAAATAATTGAAAAATTTAATTTCATCTCTTCTTAATTGACACATAAGTGTCCGGAAGGACCCCAAATTAAATCTTTCTCTAATAATAGGGTGTTCCCAATATCTCCTTATTACTCGTTTTTTACAGAGTCTACGATACCAATACATTAAAACCAACATATTTGCATTCATTGTGCCAAACTCAATCAACAACTGACAAGAAGCGTATCCGCGCAAAAATATTATACCGCATCGTGTGAACACTGGACCCGATTCGGTTAAAATGTCGTTTCGGTTAAATTCCCGTGCCGTACCGTATCGTGTGAACGAGTTGTAACACAGCAAGGCATTCTTGTTGCGATAATTGTCTCTGAAGGTTGTAATAAATTATGGTGCGAAAATGTTCTCGGTTGAGTTCCATTTTTCTAATGACTTGGTGACACTTAAAAATTCACTGTAGTGAGTACACTGCACGTATTGCTGTGAAACTTTGAATTTAGATTTACTAAAGAGTGAGGTTAAGATTCAGTAATGACGTTCGATCCGCGCGGTCTACTATGTTTCTATATGCAAAACTTAGGAGACATCCCTCGTATTATTGAAAGGCAAGTAGACCGACCACACCTACTTTACAGCCAGCCGTATTTTCGTTCGTTTGTCCAGAGACAAGAGACCAATCAGATGAGTAGCCAAGAAGCACGAAACAGCTGTCTATGAACGAAGGCATCATGGTTATTCTTTAAGTAGGAAATTGCTTCTGAAGCAAAAGCAGAAGCAGCTACAGACATGTGATATGGAAAGGAGAAGTGATATGAGTATAATCTGAACAGCTAGCTGATCCGGTAAGATTCCCCAGCACCAGCACCTGTTTAGCATATTTGTCTGGGACGGCACGTGTTTGTTAAGGATTAACATGCAAACGAATTCATCGTCGCCAGCAAGTGCCAGCAACCGTAATAAAAACACAATCTAAATTTGGTGCGCATTCAAATGAGCCAGCCACCAACCAACAACCAACAAGCACCGGCATGGCGTCAGAAGATGTTCCTGTGGCAATTTGCCCCGTCTGACTTTTGATCAGTTTTCCAATGCCCTCGGACGACACATTTCCCAACTCGGTTATGATAATCGTGAACGTGTAGCGCCTAGGACGACTTGCTCCCTCCCCGTCCCCCCTTCCTCTCTCTCTTCATTTTAATTACATTTTCTTTAATTAATATGCTAATCATTTTGCATAGTAATTATCGGGAGCAATCTAGCGCGACGGACGATGTCGCTTTGATGTGTCGCTCTGTGTGTAACTCGTCTTCGACGTTTGCTGTTATGGTTCGCCTCTACTGCGAATGTTGCGCGTGATCCGTGATGCTTTACCGCAATGCTTCCGGATGCACTTCTGACTGCTAGACTCATACACTTAAAAACAAGACAGCAGAATGACTAAAAAAAAGGTGGACCTGGTTCTCTTCCATACAGAATGGTTTCAAATTCTGGCAGCTGACATTCGTCAAAGAAGTTTGTGATGCATCCATTTTCCATTCAAATGGTCTGTTCCTGTGGGTTCTTCATACGATCAAGCATTCGACCACAAAGTCAACTCCGCCTGTAGAGTTGAGACTGCCGGAGAAGAGCGAGACTTTCTCACTTTTTCTTCGGGGCTTTGTTTGTTTGGTTTTTGTAGATCTACTTAGTATTAATGCTACGATATCAATGTTACACAGTATTTGACATAATATCTTATGTCTTCAAGTCTACATATACTAAGTGACATATAAATCCGAACACCCAGTTTAAATGTTTTTATTTTAATAAAAGTTGGTGACTGTATTTATCTTACTGTAAATAACAAGTGAAAAAATTTTCAGCCTTATCAGTTGAACATTCCTGTTTTTATAATGCTTTTTTTTAATCCACTAACGCTCTAAAAATGAATATTTCAGTCGCAGTAAGGAATCAACGTTGGCGGATTTTGGTTCTTGACATCCTTTACGATCGGTTACGATGCCTAGAGTACGGAGACCTGTACGATTTCGTCAACTTAGTGAGTTTGATAGGGGCCGTATAGTGGGACTTCGGGAAGCTGGACTTTCTTTTCGGGCAATTGGAGTTAGAGTGCAAAGAAGTGTAGACACTGTGGTTAGGTGTTGTCAGGCATGGCTTCGAGAAGGCCGTACGCAAAGAGTAAGGGGCACTGGACGCCGCCGTAGAACAACAGACCGTGAAGATCGCCGCCTAAGATTATTGGCCTTAAGGGACCGTTTCTCCACTACCAGGTCCATTGCAAATGAACGGTTTGCAGAACATGGAAGACCTATTGGCATGCGAAGTGTTTACCGACGAATGAGAAGATTTGGCTTGTTTTCATACCGGCCACACTGGGTCCTCCCTTTAACTCGAGAACACCGACGTAATCGCCTTGAGTGGTGCAGACAACGGTCAGTCTGGGATCAGGAATGGAACAGTTATTGTCTTTAGTGACGAGTCTCGATTTTGTTTAGGCATGCACGATGGTCGTGCCAGGGTTAGAAGGCGACGTGGTGAAAGGAGGAATCCACAGTTTTTTGTTGAAAGACATGTTCATCACACTGTTGGAGTTATGGTTTGTGGTGCTATAGCTTATGGTTCCAGGTCACCTTTAATCTTCTTCAGAGGTAACATGAACGCGCAGCGTTATATCCACGAAGTTCTAGAACCCCATCTTTTACCCTATCTTGACACCCTGGCAGATCCAACTTTCCAACAAGATAATGCTCGACCACATGTTGCAAGAGTCACAATAGACTTCTTTCAACATAATGATGTCACATTGTTACCATGGCCACCAAGATCTCCCGACTTATCCCCAATTGAGCACGTGTGGGATATGATGGGTAGGAGATTGCTCAATTTGCAACGTCCTCCTCAGACTCCAGAAGCACTTCGAGAGGAGTTGGTGGTTGCCTGGAATGAGATACCACAGGAGGACATTGACCACCTGATCAGAAGCATGCCTAGGTGCGTTGGAGAATGCGTAGCACATCAGGGTGCATCCACACATTAATAAAGGTCAAAGGGCTTTAAAGCAGTGCAATCATTTTGAAATTTTTATCATTTACTTATTATGCTTCATTAAGTACTTATACAAAATTTTATTAAAATAAAACCATTTAAACTGGGTGTTCGGATTTATACGTCACTTAGTATATTTTTATACAAAATTTCAAAACTATGAATTCTGCTTATCCATGAAGAACAGTGTTTCTAGGAAGGTAAGAGAACAACTTCCACTATTTCTCAGTTACTCCTATTCCCTCATTTTGAGAACTGACTTCCTGAACGTATTTGTTATGGAAGTTATCAAGCATAAGTACGTATTTCCAGACTGCCAAGGAACTGTTTGTGTCTGATTTTGACATTTGTCAAATATGTTTGTGAATACATATATCATATCAATTAACGTTCAATGGAAAAGTCTACTAGTCTTTAGAGATGAGGCTGATGGATAACGGCGAGCTCTCTGTACTTTTTCTCCCAAAACTGACTCTGGGAGCGACTCTATCAGTGTTCAGGGATCCAGTTCCCCGAATGGGAAGATACCCACGCTCATTCTCGCAACAGGAAATGAGCACGCGGAAGTTATTCTACTCATTATTTCAAGCACTAACCCCCTAGTCGCGCATTTAACTATCTCAATCGGTCTAAAAACCCGGAACTGTAAAACCTTACACCGGTTCGATCGTCACTTTCAGTACCTAGTAGTTCTTGAAAATACTTTAATTTTCTAAACTATACTTGTACTTTGAATGTGGGTCCTTGCTTAATCTTTTTCATAGCGAAAATAGCTGTAATTGTGACGAATGAATGTGCAAATTAACAATATAAGTCGATTGCATCTTCGGATTTTTTTCATCAAAAAAACTAATTGGGTCAGCAATTTTATAGGGAATTCAAATTAAATCTACAGCAGATTACTTTGACTTGACTTTAGCACCAAAACTAAATTTGACTCAAGTCCCGAGAGTCGCAAATATCCCCGGTCCTTCCACATCCGTATTATGTGGAATAACGACTATGATAGTGATCGTACTAGGCTGGTTGGATAGCCCACGCCACTCATGATGTACACTTGAGATCTACAATATAGTAATTTTTAAAAATAGTTAGCCGAAAGCCAATAAGGTTTCGCGAGCTTTCTTGCGATCAGTCCTTAAAACGAAATCAGAAAAATAGTGACAAAACTGTACTCCAAACTTGTTGGTGCTACATTTTCTTTTTATTCTACTTTTTTCCATATGGAAGCGGCCGCGCAAGCAGAAACCTAAATGGCAAGACGCTGCTATGCTGATCTCAAGGAAATTTGGTTAATCCGAGTTTTGAACTGCCTAACGTCAGTACAGCTGGTAAAAGCTTCCTCTTGTAAATTGTTCCACAATCTCGACAACCTCCTGACAAAGCAGCGGTCGTATTGGCCAGTTCTGAATGTACGAAGTTCGGCACGGTTAGGATGGGAGGCCGAAGTCAGGCAGATCTGTCTGGCAGGTACAACGTGCGGCGCCATCATGGAGACGAGCTTTGAGGGGCAAAACCCGTTAGTGTAGAGGTAGAAGAGAGCTAGACCGCCGACGGCCCGTTCGTGCGAAAGGGTCCCGTGACTGTCTGTTACAGAAGAGTCATCGATCAGTCGGCACCCCTCTTCTAGACAGCATCGATCATAAATAATGCAGTGGGGGCGGCAGTACCCCAAACGTGTGAGCAGTACCTACTCGAGGCTAGGTCTTACCTGGGCGATGTATAGAGTGAGGAGGTCATGCGGAGAAAAGTACTTCCTAGCCCTAAACAAATAGCTGTTGACGAGATGGGTTCTTGCGAGATCAAGTCCTTGAGGGCCTGGACTCCGACCAGCCGAAATGGACGGCCCTTTGTCAGAGCCCGGTCATCCATCGAAACCGGATGAACGCTAGGATGCTTTTTGTTCGTCGTACTGTTTTTGACAGCATTAAACTGTACAAGATAGTTACGTCTCCAAGCTGTCATAACCTCGAGGCCTCTTGTCAGAGAGGAACTCGCCGCTAGTCTTCCTTTTTCGAGGTCAACGGCTCTGAATGCCAGCATGTAGAGTGCTGTCATGCTAGATTGGGTTGATCTTACAGGAAAGGATGTCGTTGATATGTAGGAGGAACAGTGTCGGACCCAAGACCGATCCTGGGGAACACCCGCGTTGACGTTAAGGGATGAAGAGGAGAACCCGTCAATTATGATAAAAATCTTGCGGTCTGAAAGAAAGTCAGCCACCTATCTGGAAAGCTTCTCTGGGAGGCCAAAGGATGGAAGTTTTCATAAGAGGGCAGCTTACAACAGCAGATCGTACGCCTTGGTGATATCAAGAGCAACGACGTGAGCCTCACCATAAGACTGGATGACTTTACTCCATAATTGCGTGATGTA